TATCGCCAGTCTTCACGTGATCGTAGTACTAGAGCATATATTATGATTACACCTAGTCCTGTCATACAGTTCGCATTAGGTAACTTCGACTCGTGTGCTAGCATAGATTGATGAGCAATAGGTTCAATCGTACATGTCACATTAGGCGACTCCGACTAGTGTGCTAGCATAGGTTGTTGAGCACCTGATTTTACTTATATTATTGTTGAGATTTGTGATTTTGGGATGTCATGCCTTATTTAGGTTTTGCAGGCTATGGTAAGTATTTTCATACTATACGTAGTATGTATATTTTGGAATCTATGTATGTTTTACGATGAGGAGTTATAACGTTTTCAAAGGTTTTTATTAAAACTTTATTTTCAGGCCCACTCACCTTTGTTTTTCATCCCTCCAGGTTTTAGTAGCTAAGCTTTCATATCGATGAGGATTCTTGGCAAATCTTGGGGTAGACAATTACCTTCGATGGTATAATTTCTCACTCTATTTTACTGTACTGTACTTATGCTTTGTCATCACGTGTAAAATGGGTTCATTCCTGTTCACAGTGCACTCTTGTATTTAGACACTTTTAGGTTCAAATTTATTAACATATTCCACCATACTACATAGTTATGACTTCATCACCTTCTAAGTGTTGGCAACCATAGCTCGATTCGGAGGTCAAGTGGACATTCTGGGTCAGGGTGTGTCATACATATATACAACAAATTGAGAAACAAAATGTACTCGTTATTTCTAGGTTTTTTGTTTTAGGTTTAACAAGAGATTTTTCAATGTAATCGGAACACGGAGTGGTACACCATGTATCATTATGTAAATGATGGGATATGTGTGTTAAAAAATTAATTACTTAAAAAATAAAAAATTTCACCACTTATATAAAGCACATGGTGTACCATCCGTGTTCCGGTCACATTGAAAAATTTCTCAAGTTTAACTTCTCAACCTTTTTGGTTGATTTTACACACACATCAATTTCTTAAATAGAAAACTAGATTTTAATCCCTAAATAAGATGAAGTTTAGAAATTTTTTTTATAGAAGATTAAAAATTGATTTTAGTCCCTAGGCTCTATTTAATGCCAGCATATGTATTCAATGTCTTTCTTTTTTATTTGTAATTTTATGGTGTTCAAATTAAATTTTATGAAAATATTATCAATTTTAATTCTTATTATGGTAGGTAACTTATATAAGAAAATATTTTTGTAGAGATTTTTAGGTACACTTATGTTTTTGCATATTTTCTTATGTGCCACTATTTCACCACAATATATTTAGGTATGAACATTTCGTTAGGTATGGACATTTCGGTACACTAGTTTAGTATAATATATTTAGGTATCGACATTTTGGTACACTAGTTTAGTATCATATATTTAGGTACGAAATTTTTCGGTACACTTATGTTTTTGCATATTTCTTACGTGCCACTAATTCACTGCAATATATTTAGGTGCGAACATTTCGGTACACTAATTTAGTAAGAGTGCTATTAATCCCACCCCATTTGTGTTATTTCCACACCCACTATAAAATGATACTCTTATTGACAAATTTATCCTAATATAATATGACCTTTAAAGACCTAAAGACCAACCAATCATGTCTTGCCACATAATTATTAGTTATATTGATTCTTTTTAAACAAATTATTAGTTATACTGATAAAAAAATAAAAAATAAAAAATAAAAAACCTAAAATATCATAAATAAGAAAAAGAAAAAAATATCATGAACCCCACAAGCTTTCCTGGGGAAGGAAGTTCAGAAATTAAACTTATCAAGAAGAGGGTGAATTTGGACTTGACAAAGAAAAGCCTCGAGGCTCACAATAAAGCGCATGTTGTGGAAGGTGTGATCAAGCTTCACCAGAGAGTAGAGCAAGTTAGTCTTTAAGACTATTATAATGTTGAGATAGATGAGAAGATAAGCTCATAGTCCATATTACATTAGGGTACTCACAAATCCGACACTCATTGAACTCCGATTGTGTTTGGTGTATTGGAACAATTTGGATACCTACCATATACTGAATTTGGAGGAATTTAATGTTAGGGAAAGTCAGTGCAGCACCAAACTATGAGTGAAGCTCTTCCAATTTAATCACACTCTCTCTTGTGTGGTTTGAATTCAAATTGAAAATGATAGAAATTAGGTACTGGAGCGGTTTTCGAGACGTGATAGTGCTGCGATGGTTGGTGACATAGGAGGGGCGCTTGGTGTTGGGGATTTGGGGAGTCGGTTGTGATGAGTCTGTAAATTTTTTGGGGAGAGGGCTGCTACTGGTGATATTTGGAGTTCTTGGGTATTTTCATTTAGTGATAATTGTTTTTTTTTATTTGTAATAATTTTTTTAAAGCAAGAAAGAATTGAAAAAGAAATATGTAGGGTTATTTTAGAAATAATGGTGGGTGGGAAAAGAGTTGATGTATTTTTTTCACTTTTTATGGTAAATATAAGGTGGGTGGAAAAATAAGACATTGGGGTGGGCATATTACCACTCTTTAGTAAAATATATTATGATAGGGACGTTTAAGTACACTAATTAAAGCAAGTAAAATAAAATTAATGAATTAAATGTGTATAATAATTATAAATTTTAATGTAATGACATTAAATAAGATATCTATTAAATATTAAAACAAAAATATAATATGAATTTGGATTAAGTACACATTAGAGGATTAAAATCAATATCCAATCTAACCCAAGGTTTTTATTGAATTTTAATCTTCTTCAAGGATTAAAGTTCAAAAACCCCTTTCTTAAAACATTTTAAATAAGGAAAAATTACACACAAAGTATACTTTTAATACTTAATTTTATATTGAGACAACACTTTTTAAACTTTCAAGGAGAGACAAAAGTTAATACATGTGATAGATGACATCATTGCCTTTTTTTTTTTTTTTTTTTCTTTTTTCTCTCTTGAGTGTAAGTTACACAAATACCCTATACAAATTGATTATACTAAAAATTGCCCTTTAGCAGTTGGAGGATATGAAAGTGAGTCTATAGTTAAATGTCTCTTGCTTGGTAATTTGTTCATCCCATCTCCGCGTACATTCGTTTTTTCAAGATCAGACATTTTTTCCTCTGTTATGTCATCGAATTAGAATTTTATATGAATTTTGAAGGAAACAAATTGCCAATAAGACTTCCACCCACCCACCCCACTTTGTTCCGCTGTCGGCAAACCGTCAATAAAACTTCCACCCACCCAATCCACTACTGGCACTCCCATATCTCATTAGTCCTTACCCTAGCCAAGCCCCTTTCTCTCTCCGTCTAAACTTCCACACTAGGTTCATATGAGAGGTTTTGATTCAACTCTCTACTTATCACCACCTTTCAAATTTCAAATGTACATGGAGACATCAAAATCAAGTTTGATTACTGCACGCTGTTTTAATTGGAATCTCGTAATTGGTTTATAAAATTAAACTGTAAATTATACAAAGAAAGAAAAATTAAGAAACGAAAATTGAAAGAAAAAAAATGAGTTAGTTTGGTGGTGGTGGTGGAACCATTTTGGTTGAAGGTGGAGACTGTGTTGCAATCTTGCATAAGGACGGTGAAGGGTGATGGAGGTGAAAACAATGGGCCCAAAATGGATAGTTTTCTAGTTTTTCTTATTTTTATTTTACTTTTCTTAAAATGGCCTCACATTGAAATTAAATACTTTAAGTTGCGGAACAGGTGTCTAGCGACTCGTGCATGACTCTTTTTAGCTGCGAGTTTGGCTGGCAATTCTCTTTTTAACATTTACGGTGATGAAACAAAATATTTATATTTACAGGTTATATTGATTCTGCAAAAAAGACAGGCTGAACTAATTTTACAAAAATATTCAAAGACGGGTTGAACTAATTCTACACAAAATGCAAAAATGATCGAAGGACGAGTTGAACTGATTATACAAATATAGTCGAAGTGGGGTTGAACTGATTTTGCAAAAATAGTCGAGGGGGTGAACTGATTCTGCAAAAACGATTGAGGGTGAGTTGAACTGATTCTACAAAAATAGTCGAAGACGGGTTGAACTGATTCTGCAAAAATGGTCGAGGGGTTGAATTGATTTTGCAAAAATGATCGAGGACAGGTTGAACTGATTATGCAAAAATAGTCGAAGACGGGTTGAATGTTGAAGATGGGTTGAACTGATTTTGTAAAAATAGTCGAGGACGGGTTAAATTGATTTTGCAAAAACGGTCGAGGACAAGTTGAACTAATTCTGCAAAAATGGTCAAGAACTGATTGAACCGATTGAACTGATTCTGCAAAAATGGTTAAGGGAGTTGAATTGATTCTAGTAATAAAAAGATATAAACTGAATTTGCATATAGTTTCAAAATTGATTATGCAGAAATAGTCAGGCATAAGTTGAGTTTTTAGCACATATTAATTTTATTGGAGTTATGAGGGTTAGTTTTTATTTACAACCATAAAGCCTTGGGGGTATGGTTGATATTTTAAAATATTGTTTAAATATTTTTGGGCTGGGCTTTAGTAGTTTTTATGTTTTTGTCTTCATTGATATGTTTAAACACAAGTAGAATTCATTGAAATATAGTCAAATTTTTTGTCTCTCTATATAAACTCCCATAATAACGAAGCCAATATTTTAAAAATTAAACATCCATGAAATCACAAGCATTAAGTGGATGTTATTATAGCGAAAACAAATATTGAAGCTAATTTTCACTTATGGTGATCTTTTAAGATCTAAATTCCTAAACCAACCCCTTTTAGCCACCAAAATTGATTGACAAATCGATTTAGTTATTCAGCCAAGTTGCACCTAAAATTGCTTGACAAAACAATTTAGATATTCAGATCTCCATAAATGTCGTAAGAGTCGATACCCACTTTAATATTTGTCCGTGACCTAGTAAATGTATGATAATTTTCAAAATTTAAGATAGTTATGTGGAACATTTTGAACGATTTTCAATTTAGGATCAATTTGAAATCACAGTTGTCGTACTTAAACCCTTTTTTATCGTTTAACCCTTCGTTTTATTGCTCAAATTATACCAAGGTGTACAAAAACAACTATGCTAGGCGCTTGGTGACTTTCTTATGTAAAAAACCTACTACATTACATAGTTTTGAAACACAAATAAGGTAGCTCTCTGCCTCTCTGTTTCTTTTCGGATGCAAATTATACATGAATATATGATTTAATTTAGTCGTCATGTGGCCTCCTTTTGTAGTCAGCCCCGGGCTCATGTTCCTTGTACCTATTCTTGACAGAGTCGACGTTAGAGTCACCCACGGTAGCTTCCTCTGTCCCATCGTATGTCTGGTCCACTGTCTGGCTGGCCACACCTTGCTCCGCCGCCTTCAGCTTCTCCTCGGCCATTCTCTTGAACTCCTCAGCCGTAGAAGATGCTCTCTCTTCTATACCTGTGTAGCCGTGGTGCTCTCCCTTGCTCCCTTGGCTGCTATATCTCTGAATTCAAAATTCAGATAGCATAGCAATCAAGTTCCAATTCCAACACTGACCAGAATGAAAAGTTCCAATTCCAACTGATTCACTCAATCATATACAGTACAAATATCACCACTCAATGAATGTTATCTTATTTTGATTCAAAAGATAATTTTTCTTTTGATTCGAAATGTATCATAATTCATGAAATTTAAATTCAGAACTTGCTACAGTAAACCAGGAATATTGAAATAGTACAAGTGATTTTGCATGTCGCCTCATGCACTTTTTTGTTTGTTTAAAGATGTAAAATCAACGAAGAATTAACATAGATTGAATAAATTAGAAAAATCGACAAAAATAAAGAGGAAAGTGCAGAATAAGAAATCACGAAGTTCAAATCATTTCCTTATTAAGTAATTTGCTTAAAAAAATACAAACTATAGCACAATTAATTAGTTACTTTGACGCAAAACATGTGTGTAAATCATTCATAATTTATGAAGTAAATGAACAAGTGATGAACCGAAACTAACCTGCTTGGTTGTGTAATGACATGCTGCTAATGACTTCAAAACTGTGGATCTTGACCTTGATGGGAAGGTGTGGAGGGTAAAAATACGGCCTGCCATCTTGAAGTCGAACGCACTAACTAGCTTTTGATGTACTAATTTTCCAGATTGCAATAAAAAGAGAAGGAAAGGAAGTGCCAATATATGGATGAAGGTCAGAAATGCAATGACAATAATGCAGAGGTAAATGCCAATACACGCGTCTTCTCTTCTGAGTCATGTCAGTGATTTATATAGACACGTGGTCCTGTGTAAATTTGCCATGTCATTTGAGGCATGCAAACGTTGTGATATCTTTTGTGTCCCTTAGGATGTGTGGAAATTTGGTCCCTCTTTTGATTAGTGATCAGAGGATTAACAACACTTTGTATGAAAATATCTTAACCATGCATTACCCCACCACATTAACAACCCCAATTTTGAACAAAATTTGGATTTCGAAAGTGGAGGCCAGATATTTCGTAAAGTGTGGTTAGTATTAAACATAATAGTTTTGTTGATTGTTTTTGAGATACTAGAAGTGTAAATGGTTTATGTATTTAAAGCATCCTCACATCCTCACTTAGATGTTTTTCGATATAGAAATGAAAATTTGGCATGCTCAATTATTGATAGATTTTCAACTTTAGATTATTTTCACATTTGTAGTTGGGGCAAGAAATAAAAAATTATTGCTAGATAAATTGTTGAGGCTGAGCTTTAAGGGATTTGGAATTGACATTTGTTGAATCTCACATCGGCTAGAGGAAAAAGAGAAAAGCAATTTAAATAAAATTATTTCACTCTAACTAACATCGAGGTCTTTTGTAGTAAAACCTCACACCTGACTAATTGTGCATGTGATAATTAATAAGTTGGGGATAGTATCGGTGTTGATAGAGTGGATCCCTCAGCCCGTCGACTTGAAAAATTCAACATGGTGTCAAAGTCAGAGAGCAGCCCGTACTACCACGTGATGGGTGGACCCCCTTGGCCCTACGCGATGATGGTGTGCCCCTTGGCTCCACGTGGTTACCGATGTGTGGATCTCAAAAATTGGGTTGGAGACAATATCGGTGTTGATGGAGTGGGGCCCTCGGACCGTCGACTTGAAAAATTCAACATGGTATCAGAGCCAGGGAGCAGGCCCTTACTGCCACATCATGGGTGGAGCCCCTTGGTCTCGCATGATGATGGGGTGTCTCTTGGCCCCCGTGTAGGGTGAGTCCCCTTGGCTCCACGTGGTTGCCGATGTGTGGATCACAAAAATGGGGTCTCACGTACGGGGGCGTGTTGAATCCCACATCGGCTAGAGGGGAAGGAGAAAAGCAATTGAAATAGATTTCCCTATTCTAACTAACACCGAGACCTTTTGTGGTAAAACCCCACACCTAACTGATTGTGCAGGTGTTAATTACCAAGTTAAAGGTAATATCGGTGTTGTTGGAAGTGGGCCCTCGGCCCGTCTCTCTGATAATTGTACAACATTCAGTTGGGATTTGGACCTCAAAAGCTTACGCAATTGAAATGTGGTATAAGGGTTGCGATTGATATTGTTCACAATCTAGTGCAACACGATTAGCCTAAAAATGTTAAAATAGATAGACATTTTGTCCAAGAAGAATTGTAACCTGGATTAATATGTTCACCGTTTACTAAGCGAGGATCAACTGGCAGATTTGTCCTCCGTTTCCTCATTGGTGGAGTAGTAGAGTTCTTAATTTTTGGAATTGTTCGTGCGTAAATTTGTAGTCTTAGTTTGGTCACCTCTCTCTTCTAGAATCTAGAGTCCTGTGTGCCATGTGAGATAGTTTGGTTATTTGGTTCTCAAATTGCAGTTCCATGCAAGGAAATAGGAGCTGGGGCTTTCATGTTTTGACGATGCTGTTAAGAGCACGAACGATGCCATGCACATGTACGTTTATTTGTCTATGCACGTAGCCCATATTATTGATGATCAATTTCTTTCATGCGATCTATATGTATTTGTTTTTTAGTTACACTATTTAAGCCCCAAGTTTAAGAATATACTAGGAATGTACATAAGAATTTATTTGTAAATATCCCATTCTATGAACTAAATAGATCCTAAGAGGAACCATTAAACTATTTATTAAACTCTAGAAATCCCCCTAGATCTTTTGTTTGATGGAAATCCAAGTGCCATATGACCGATCTTCAATCTAAATTAATCCTCCCTTGCTAATTTCATGTCACTTGAATTGATGATTCATGGAATTATTGACTACTTCTACTGCTTTTATTAACATACTAGTGTAGAATAATTCTAAATTAAGGACTTAACTTTGATAATTCAATAATGGTGGATAGTTTGAAGCTCTTTTTCTCTCCTCTTTGGTTAAGGCCTGCAAAATGAGGTGAAAAGTCGCCTAAACTGGGACCGCAGGTTCTAACAGTAGACGATTGGATTTGCATGACTAAATTTTGACTGTCGCAATTCAAATGTTCAAACACGTCTTTTTATAGAGTTGAGTTTACATAGACAGGGATAAATATCTATTCCTTTTAGATTTTGTCCGGTGTGAAATCTTACCCTCATGCTGACATGGCATCCTGTGAGTGGTCATACTCATGCTGACATGGCATCCTGTGAGTGGTCATACTCATGCTGACATGGCATCATGTGAGTGGTTTATTTTCAACCATTTGGATTCCCGCAAGACTTGGGAATGAAGTTTCGATTCTTTTGTCTAATTTGCATTTTAATTTTTGTATTCCCTTCAGGCCACGATTGCAAGCATAAAAAAACAGATTCCATGAGTGTAAAACATGCAAAATTACACATAAGCAGAGAGAACACTACGAAACGTCAATGCCAGTAAATGGCTTGTCTACGAGGAAAAAGGACAAAAAATTCCAACCGAATTACCACTTTATGTGTACAATACATGAAAATACAACACTAATACCCAATATAAATACTGTATATCACGAAATATACGTGAACACTCGGACGGGGAAAGACAGAGGGTATAGAGTGCACACAAGTTCCAGAACTTAGTCCTGCTAATAAGTAGGGACGTTTGGATCGACCTCATGCGCCCAGCCCTCCAGTCCTCCGATGATGTCTTTGGCCGATGTGAAACCCATCTGTGGAGATACTGAACAGCCCTTTGAGAATCGTTACCCCTTCTACATATTACATATACTTGCCCACCTGAACCAGAATCAGTACCCCTATGGTCTTCCTTTTCCTTTAAGGCTGAAGTTATTTCCGGTAACCGAGCTTCCAAACGTGGGAGCGGGATGTTTAAGGAATTGGGCAGAGAAACAATCTTGAAGTGATGTTCTGGACGAACGTCGACCAAAACATGTGCCTCGCCACTAACTAGTTTCTCCTTGTACTCTTTACTATTTATTCTGGAGTCTGGCTCAAGTAGGTTTAACTTCAAAGGTAACTGCATAGAGCAAACAGCAATATTGTGTTTGTGACCAGAAAAATATACCAGTTCTCATTATACGGTGAAAAATCCAATTATACATTTAAAAATCAGATACTTCAAAATCCTTCAAGAAAAAAAAAATTATAAGACAAATATTTACCGGAGTCAGTGGAGACTGAGTGAAGTTTTCATAATCAAATTCTTGAAACTGCTGCTTAGAGAATGGTGCATTCTCACCACACACTACGCACTGCAGTGACCTTCCTCGAATCTTACCTGCAATGAAAATAAAATAAATAAAGCACACACCAGCAGAAAAATGTGCCATATCTGATGAGCGAGAGAACTCAACTGTGAAGCTAGTTCATTTTCAGTTCTAAAAGAACAGAACAAATCCAGATACCAAAAAGCGAGGCAACAAGTCCAGGTAGTAGGATGATATCCATCTTCTTATAAGACTTTGGTACAATTTGATTTAAAATTGAACATGTAATCTAATATTTAAAGAATTGAGAGGTGGTAAGGGGAAGGAAGGACGAATGGTCATTGTGCAGGAGGTCCATTGGTCCAAAAGCCTAAGGGCTCGTTTGGATGTGCTTTTAAAATAACTGAAAGCGCTCACCAAATGTTTTTGGAAACAATCCTTAGTAAAAATGCAAGTAAATCCTGAAAAGCACATAAAGTGCTTCCTGGAAGAAGCACATAACTGGTGCTTCTTGCTGAAAGCACTTAAAGTGCTTTTGGAACCCAAAAACATTTTCTCTAAAAGCACTTTTAGCCATTTTAAAAGCACATCCAAACACGTCTTAAATAACTAACATACTGAGGTTACACTAATACAAAGCCACTCTGGCTTCAACAATTCTTGTTCCAAGACTAATGCATTCATAAAATCAAAGCAAATTAAAGTCTAGGAATCACAGCTGGAAGTAATGTCAGGTACAGGACAAAGAAGCATACATTTCGTATCCGTCCTGAAAATGCATCAAATAAAAGCATGCGTTCTGAGAGTGGTTCGCCAACTCCACTTGCAATCTTAATAGCTTCTAGGGCTTGGAGACAGCCGATGACACCTGGAACTGGAATGATAGAGGAGTAGTAAGAAAGAAGGACTTGGTTTCTCAAGCAAGGAATGAAATACTACGTGAGATACTTTAAATCAAACAAGATATGAATGATGATTAAACTCCGGATTACCAAATTTCCTCCTAACCACTATGCAAGTCATCAAACTACTCTCTCTTCATAAAACATTTCACTTTGTACTGCAGCAGACTGGGAATATTAATAGGCATTTTTCCAGCAGTTCATAACTTTGTATTCCATGATTTTTTAATATAAACAATTTATTGACATACCAACGCCTAGGACACCAGCATCAGAACATCTTTGGCATGCGGTTGTAGGTGGTGGAGTTGGAAATAGGCATCGATAGCACGGACCACCATTGTAATTGAAAACTGTGAGCTGCACAAATATATTTGGGGTAGATACTTGGAATCTTTAACATGATAAAATACTGCAAATGACAATTATACTACCTCATTATAGACAATCATATATTACAAAAGGACCAAATAAGATTTCTACACAATGTACCTGCCCTTCTAATCCCACTGCAGCACCAGATACAAGAGGCTGTAAGAGTATATATGATACCCATTAGTACTTAGTGGAGAAAATTGAATAAATGAGTAAATGGAAAGTTAAAACAATACAAGAACAGCCTACAAATCCATACAATTATATATACATATACTTATA